GCTCCTGTTATATATCATGTTCTTATATGGAAATGGAACGAATAAAATGAGTTGTTAATGATACAATTCTAAGATAATTCAACGGAAACACTTGAATCTTGATCCTTTAACAAGTTAGATGGATGCAGATATCCTGAACTCAGATTCTTCATGTCTTTTCTACATACAGTAAATGTTCTCTGTGTCCTCTCTTTGATCTGCCATGTTCTTCTCTACTCATCACCTTCCGTTTCTCTCTTATGTGAGTCTGCCTTGTTCATTTCTCATGCATGTACCTTCCAGTCCGTCATCCCACCTGTCATCTGTCATCTCGTAACATGGCCTTCATCCCAGCTTTGTGCTCAATCACACATCCTAATCTTTCCTCTGTAAGCCTCCACTTGTTTTTTCTTCTCCTTGCCTTACTTCTGACTCTTACAGCTCTGCTTCACTCCCCCCTTGCTTTATTTTTTCATCTGACTTCTCCCTTCTTCACTTCTCCCTTCTTCACTTCTCCACTCCTCTCCCTCGAGGCCACTGAAGCCTGTCTTCACCTCTGGGGAAAATGTCACCTCAGTCTTTACCAGAAGGCTCCTTAGCCCTGCCACTCGATCATTTGGGTCAATCTACCTTTCAACTGGTTTCGCACATTGCCTACACCTAGCACACTTTTGTCCCTCCAACTACACACATTCATGTATGCATTAATGTGGGAAATATATATGTTGTGCCAGTTTATTGGTTCTTCTTGTACTGCCATCTTCGACATATTGGTGAAACTGTGCTCAGGGGTTAAATAGGCATCCACTAATCAGAACCCAGTCCCAGCTGTGAATATGTCAAAGTAGGCAAGATACTTGAAGAGACCCTATTGTGCTTTTGGGGATTATTCCCTTTCCTGTAGTGTGTTATATAGGTTGTTGTACATGTACATGGTCTGCAGAGGCTAGAATCCCAAAGTTCCTTCCATAGTGACATACTGACAGCACTATGTAACACTTGCTCTTCAATAGGCTAGCACTCCAACACATTGTACGGCTCCAAGTTACAAGAAAAAATACCTTTTTGAACATTAAAGCATGGAGACATGTCACAGTAGAGGCACACAATACAAATCCTGAACATTAGCATACAAGGGCACCTTTAACTACAAAATGGCTCCTGTATGCATGTCTACAGTATTGTTGTGTATGCAAGATGCTTTGGATACAGATAACACAAGAGTATTAGGCGTGATAGTGTTAGCATACATTTGGATTCAAGAAAGTGGGAAATTCCCCTATGATTGGAGAGGGCGAAGCCTGAAGAATGTTAAATGACAAAGATGTTTGAGATGTGGAATAAATAAAAAAGGTGATGGGTCCCAGATGGAAAAATAAATATGCGTAGGGAATGGTTACCAATATCTGGGTGCTATAACCTAAAGGTGACCATTTATAAATCAGTATGGAGGCTTTGGATTGAAAAGGTTTGTTGAATTTCCCCTTTGGGTCAATTGTCTGGCTTCGACCAATATATTCAAATGAATTGGATGAATCCATTATAAAGCTGAAGTGAACCTGCAGGTAAATGGGTTTAGAGGAAGGCTAACAGCAAACTTGAACTATCTGCAGCTTGAAAAATGGCATTGCCATGGCTTTGGCTTTTAGAGTTGTCTTTTACTTTGTCTTATACAAGAGGCAATATAATGAAGTATGGTGCAGTCATCACAGCCTTGACAAGGTAATTAAAGAAGAGCAGCATTGCATGTACTCAACACCTAATGTATTCTAGTTCAAGGTGAAGATATTCATGACATGAAACCATTGACCCATTTTGCTTCATAAAGGGGTATTATTGGTGGTCATCAGCTCCATGTCGAAGATAAATAGAATTGGAGGATGTAACCCTCTTTATTGGTCACACATGTTCATGCTTACAGCACACACACAGTGCAATTTGTTCTCTGCTTTTTACCCATCCTAGTACTAGGAGCAGTGTGTATGTGGGTCATGGCTAAACCAACTAGTAGGTTTTTGTATTCATTACCACGGTTGATCACAAGGAATACAAGAAGTCAGAGGTCAGGTATCATGGTATAAATGTGAGAAACTAAAAGCACAGGGTATAAGTTGTCCTTGTTTACAATTAAATATTACCTTCACTATGCAAATCTAGCTATTTTAACCCAAACCACTTTTTTTACATAACCTCACCAAGTACTTTTATTGCCTTAACCTTAATTGCGTTACGTTCAATGAATTCTACGTGCTTTATTACAATAGATCTGATCATATCAATTGATACTTCTCTTATATAGTCACAGATGTTACATAACCTGACATTATTTCCTGTCATGGACTCTTCCTTACACAGAATGTCTCACGATTTCCCAGAATTGAAACGTTTGAAGTGGTACTATTAGGCTCTCAGCTGGCGTTTTTTACAATGCTCTTGCACTTTCGTGTAAATGAATCAATGGTTCCAAATGACACAGTAGTGTACGTGCTGAAGTTGAGTTCAATAGAACTTGATATAAGATTATATACACATATATTCTTTTAACATCGCCGTAGTTCTTAGAGTGACTACATGGTTGTGTCTTTCTTGCACGATAACAGAGAAGGGAGAAATTCAGCGAGGTGGGTACACATTAGAATGGTGGCGATAACCACAGCCATATCATTGGCTGATAACATTTGTGATGATAACATTATGACCAACACACATTAGAAACTCTATGGATCTCAATACATCTGATTGAAAATGGTGAGTTCACAAAGGGACAGTAAAAAGCAAAAATGTCAGTGGAAAGCTTTTATTTGAAAGCAGCACAATGTAGAAATGTCAGTTACAGTGAAGAATGTAAGAGCGCAGCAAGGCAAGAGGTAAGGGGGAGAGACAGGAGATGAAAGGGGGCTGATAGACAGACTGACATTGCGAGAGACGCAGCGAGAGGGATGACGAAAGCTCCGCTGAAGTCAGACTCACAGCGGAGTGAAGAGCGGAGAGAGGGGATTTTGAATCTTGTCAGCTTCTTACCACTTCCAACTTCTACTGACTCATGCACAGAGACAAATGTCACAGTGCGCAAGCTAGCAAAATTCACACAGGAGCGTTGTCTCAGTGTTAATTATAATTCTGGTACAAACCATGGGACTAGGAGTTAACCAGGAGAGTGCCAAATGGTAGTTCTCCAAATGAAACATAACTCTGTTGGAACCTAAATCCCTAATTTCCACAGTTAGTGTGTAGGAGTGTAGCTTCAGGGTGGCAGTGGGGGAAATTAGGCCGTCACAGTTCATATGCAAAAGCTCATTGTTCCTTTTATTGTTTTTTAATTAAATACTCCCAACAGAGACAAACCCAGCCTTGACATAAGCCAGGATGTCAATACAGCATAATTCCAACTTTTTGTGTACACTTATTCCCTTCAAAGTGTTTTTTTTTTCCTGAATTAAATGCAAATACATCAGTCCATTTTGTTGAGATTTGTAAAGTAAATGTTGTATTCCTCACTACCACAGGAAGTGTGGACGTGAGAAGGTGGAGCCATTTATAAAGAGGCCTTATTGTGCTTTTAGGGGGTTTCCCTTTCCTGTGTTTTATAGGGCTTGGTGCATGTACATGGTCTGGACCCCTGCCTGAAACGTCTCCATTAGACCCCTTGTTGCTTCTGTAACATGACATCCCTATGTAACACTCGCATTTCTCAGCTAACCAATCAGAGCAGACTGGGCTCTGGTTTCGGACAGAGGGTGAAAAGAGGTGCTGCAGCACAGGCAGTATGAGAAAAATAAAGAGCTTTTTGAACATTAAAGCATGGAGACATGTCACAGTAGAGGCACTAAATACTAATATGAACCTGAACATTTGAGTAATAGGGCCCCTTTAATGAGCTGCATGATAGTGATCAGGGGTTTTTCCAAACCGGGTAACAGGGTCCTCTTACTTAACTTATACCAAAATGCAGATTTTCCCGTTAAAATAATGCTAGAAAACAATATTTGTCATTGTCAATACTGGTATAATTACTCCAAATATCTGAACATCTTGTCAAATAGACCGTCAGATGACGTAGACAGCTTTGTTTTTACGGAGCTCCAACGTCACATTGTTGTTTACGTCCGCGGCAACGTCTTGTACACGGGCGTCATGTTCTCGCGAGAATTGATATATCTTATATACAAGATCAGCGCCACAGTCTTGCCCTCATACTATATTTTTTCTAGCAAAACCCCTGGTAATGTTAGGATAGATTTCAGCACACCGAAGAGATTGACAATCAACAAACAAACCATTTTGATAACCCATTACACATACATTACCTCTTTCAGAGAAAGCTAAGATCGGGAAGAGAAATACAAGTTATATCCTTTCGAACTGATAAAAACAGACCCAGGAGAAATTTTAAACACTCCAAGGAAACCAGTGAAGGAGTCCAGAGAGTGACATTTAGAAAGCTGTCTCTGTTAGTCTTTAAATACAAGCAATGTAGCGTGAAGTCACTGCAGCACCACAGTATAGAGACACACAGATGCGTAGTGTTCAGTGTCTGCATGAACTTTTGAACATCAGCATGCACAATGATGGATTGCCAACGCTGGTTGGTTCCCATAATTCCTTACATATGGTGCAGAGCACACAAGCAGTCTTAACCACTTCATTAACTTTTAATTTCCCATTTGAGTAAGTCAGAAAATAGAATGTAATTGTGTCTGCTGTTTGTTAACGGCTATGAGATGTGAGGAAAGAAAGGACAAGCCCTGTGCAATAATCCTCATTACAGCTAATATCCAGAGATACTATCTGACTATTTATATATTTATATACCCCGCTGTCTATGTGCACTCAATGGTATTACACTTCACGCACTACTTCATTCTTTGTCATGTATCAGTCCATCAATGTTGTTTGTTTGAGACGAGAACAGCTTCAGACCCATACTGTTGATGACGCCTCTCAAAACTCAATAATGGTTTCAAAGTAATCTCACCCCTCAACAATCCCCCCTGTCTTTCTCTTTCTCTCTCCCCATCTAGAGCTAATAGATGGGACCCCCACCTTGAAAATCAACCACGGCTCTGGCACAGTGGTGCTACAGTTGCCAGGCAACGTGAACGTGGCAGACAGGCGGTGGCATCGGCTGGATGTCCGCAGCAACAGCAAGGTTGGACGCTTCACCCATTTCACACAAATTGCTATTTATTTAGCCACTTAGTTAACAAGTATATTCACACTGAGCTATAGTGGCAGATGAACGTCTATTTGTTTCTTTCTTTTACACACTTATTTAAGCCCCTGTCACACTGTCCCGAAATTGACACCCGATGGACAAACGATAAAGGAAATGTTCAAATTCGGCTGTGATCGTAGCAACATCGGGCCATTCGTGAGGGCATCTTAAGCCATCGTATGACCGCCGGTGGAGTTTCTCAGGCTCCGGCAGCAACTTCGTGAGCGGCAACTTCGTAAGGCACTCGTGAGGGCATCGTGTCAAGTCGTGTCATCTTCGTGTTATCATCGGTGCATTCACCCTCACTCTGATCGGGGCGAATGCCCGATGGCACCGATGATAACAAGATGCCCTCACGATGGCCTTACGAAGGGAAAAATTGACACATGAATTCAACACGAAAATGAACCTTCGCAAGGTCCTTCGGCAATTTTTTGGCATGTCAAAGATTTTGCCACCGTTCACGAAGTTGCTGCCGGAGCCTGAGAAACTCCACCAGCGATCATACGAAGGCTTAAGATGCCCTCACGAATGGCCCGATGTTTCTACGATCACAGCCGAATTTGAACATTTCCTTTATCGTGTGTCCATCGGGTTGTTTTATTGCACAACAAAATCATGTAAACATATTATGTAAATAACCCAATTTGTGTTCTGTGAAACTGAAAAGGATATAATATATTATTTTGAAGGCGAGTTGACAGGAAGTTGTTGTTGTTATGGAAACAACATTACGGAGAAAACATAATATTTTCTACATATAAAGACGGTAAAGTAAAGAACAAAGTCGGAAGATATCAGTACAGTATCATAGTACTGTAACAATTGTTTTTGTTACTTTCGTTGCAGTTGTTTGTCTTAAATGTAATGTAAATGTTGCCTTCGTGTGTGGTTCGGGGCCATCTTCGTGCGAAATTCACAATTCCATATTAGTGTGTCCATCGGGTGTCAATTTCGAGACAGTGTGACAGGGCCTTTAACCACTAATATCAAGAAATGTTTTCCTGCATTGAGGCAATTTAAACTAATGTATACGGCTCTACTCAAAAACATTGAAAACTGAGTTAATATCAAACAGCACCAACCCCACCATCTATTAAAAAAATGGATCCTCTCTCAAAGCCGTTAATGGTTTTAAATCCCTAGGATCATACATGTTGGACTTCGGGAAATACTCTCTATCGGAAAGCCAAAGCCTGGGCAGCATGCAAAATAACGGGCATGGTGTCCGACGTAATGAAACTCAATTTGTTTGCTACAACCATTGAGCAGAGATTCTATCTACGGCTCTGAGAACGGCACCCTTAATGCTCGACTCCATCATCACCCCAACCGATGACAAACCAACCTCTTGTGCAGGGTACGAAATCTATCGTTGAAGAATCATCAAACATTACAGATATATGGCAACATCCTACATCTCACTTTGCGTTTAATTCAACGGTGTTCTAGATTTGCCATCCAGATGTAACTTCTTTAAGACCTTATCCTATTGAAGCCTTCAAGGGGACAAATGCTAACCTTCACAAATCCCCTAGTGAGGAACTCTCCACTAAGGTTGCTAATTAAAATGCATTCATAGCATTACCCTGTCTGCTCAACAGCCCTGTCCTGCGTAAACTTAGAGGCAGTTGAAACAACCAAAGAGCTAATAGAATTGACAAGTGCTAGAATTTTCAAAGAAGTCTATCAAGTGCATATGTTTTGGTAAATCAAAATCACAATCAACAGAAAGTTAATTGTATTAGGTTACAAAATAAATAACGCAATATTTCTTAAATTATCCGCAAAAAAATCATCAAAATGCTTGTTTTTAACATAATCTTCCTGCAGTTATTACGTTCAATATTTAAGGTAATTGTACATTTTATCAGTTGTTAAGTGCTGTTATTGCTATGCATTCAATATCAAATGAATCCATGCAATATGCCACTTTGTTAGAGGCCTTAGGTTAGAAAAGGGAGGAATAGTAAAAGTAGGAATGTGACTCTTCACTGGTAAAGAAAAGTCAAACAAAGCAGCAGTGTAACTTCTAATCATTGTTGGTTTGGTACAATCACTCTCAATCTGTCATTCAGAGCAAAGACTCCCTCCCAGGTGAAAATCAAATGAATAACATGATTATTATTCCAATTGTCCACTGATGATATATTTCAAAACAAGCAGTGAGGTTGTTTAGAACCTCACCATCTGTACCTTGTCCAGACCTGATTGAAAGTTTCTCTTTTTTCTTTACTGAATCAGATGCAAGAAACGAGTTGCTGCTGTGGTTCGGTTTCACACAAGCAAATGCTTGCAATCCATTTCTGTGAACTAGTGTTGGCCCTCTGCCGTGCACAGTTGTGTTAGCACCACTGGCACGGTCATGCATGCTGAGGCGATATTTGCCTGAAAGTTGTCCAAAGTAGAACTGTGCGAGAAGCAAAAAATGCAAATTAGCTTAGCCACCGGAAATTAATGTTGTTTTCGCCCCTTCCTTCGGGGGAATGTCAGAGGGGAATATTATGACTGCCCTAAATCTTAGTTGATAGACCAAATACATGTTGACTGTTAAAAGTAACTTTAAACCAGTGGCGAGGGGAAAGTGCAGCTACATTTTTAGCTGCTGAGCTTCCCAGCCATGGAGGTATAATTGTTTGACAGACATGTCACATTTCAAAACTCAATTATTTCACATCACAACCATCTCCCTTATGGCTCCAATGCAAGCCTATGCAATATGTCGTTTAGGGACCCAAATGGAGAACATGTAAGTTGGTGATTTAGTATTGCAGGACCGTCTGCACTTTAAAGTACAGAGGGAGACAATAGCGGTGGGTGTGACATGAATTATTGCAATGACCTCCTTTTGACATTCTCTACTTAGGATCATTTCAAGGGAATTTAATCAGAGTGAAATTAAGCTAATCTTCACTTCACCGAGGACCGCCCGTAACCACTGCCTTATACTTTTTAAATATCAAGGAGATTTTCAGTGATCCTATTTTAATGTAACCCAGCTAGCTTCAAGCCTCATGTTCTCACTCTGAGCTTAAAAGCAGCCGGACTGTCTGAACCTTACTGGAAAGTCATCCCGATATGGACAAGGACCACTCGAGTTGAAGTACTCTGTCAAAATAAAAGCCATTTTCATGGGGGCACGTGAATGCACCGTTGGTCTTGGCGGAGCTCTGTGCTCTCTGAGTGCCATTCTAATTTTAATAACGCCATCAGGAACCTTGCCCTGCCATTAGTCACTGAAATGTGCTTGTAATTCGCGTCCATTACTTAACTGTTCAGTACACAGTGACAAAACACACCAGTTCTGTTCCTCTTTGTTAAATATTAACAATATGCGCAGTTCTACATTGACACATGCATAAAAACAGAGCACATTTGCTTAGTATTGAGAATGACCTCAGCGATAAGCATGCATAAGGGCACTGTAACAGCTTTATTCTGAATTGTATGGATACAATAATTCATTGAGACCTGTGTTATTACAATGGGGATTATTCTGCATCACAATGGTTTTATTCTGAGTCACATGTGAATGTATTCATTTGTCCTGAATAGTAAGCAGCAGCTTGTCCAATCTGGTTGTGTGACCTGGTTGGAAAAGGACAGAGCTGCTGTAGCAGGAATACAAGAATGTTTAACATGGAGCGGAAATTACCTAACCAACTACATTTTTTTGTGACTGTGGTAAAGAATTAGTCTTTGCATATTATTGTAAACATTATGTTAATTATGTATCTGGTAAACAACCACTGTTGATGTGACATCATCAAGCTAATTGATGCTACTGAGCAATTAGCTAGCACAGCAGGTATGTATTAGCTGCTGTTTCCTGACACATTTGCCTCCTGTTGATGCTGGTTTTAAAGCTAAATTAAAAGCATCAGGTAAATCATGCATGTAATTTCAACTGATAAAAGTAATTAATACAAATAAACCTGCAAGTAATATCAATTTTGTTATGTTTTTTGACATGTTTTGGCATGGCAAATTATCTAGTTCAGTAGCTGTACTAGCTACCGACAGCTGTTTCAGGGTCCTAAAGTCACCTCCAGGGGAACATCCTCAGTTGTCCTGACACTGTAACATGGCCCTCTGTAAAATATTCTCATGTCAGTCTTTATTTCCTCGTAACCCCACTGCCTCCCATCTCACGGGACCCTTTGGCAGAGGTATTCAATTATGGTAATGATCAGATCTCGTGCACCTTCTCATGAACAGCTGGCATTCACACAAATGTTCTTCCCCCAATATGTTAATGAATCATGTCTATGTAGCATTATTTGGAGTATAAATACTAAATTTTGTTCAAAAACTGGAGCAGGGTTTAAGTCAATGTCATACATTGATTAATGACCATGAACGTTGTAAATCAAACGTCTTCTCTGGCAACACATTTAAATGTTGTTAGCCTCTTAAATAGGTGTATACACCATACTGCAACTAATACATTGTTAAAGTGAAGGTGACATTTTAAAACAACCAACACATTTTAAAACTGACTGAAACGAAACAAATACAATGTATAGGTTACAACACTACTAGTTTAGGTTAAAGAAAATATCATTGTTGGATGAAAATAGAACAGAATCAGAAATGCTTTCATAATCCCGGTGGGAATTGGTTTTCATGACAGTTTTTCCGATTAAGAATAAATACAATAAAAGATTAATTCAAATGTATGTATTAAAACATAAGAAGAAAGAATGTGAAATAAAAAGATAAAATAAGACATAAAGAAAACAAGTTAAATGTCTATTCAAATTGAAAAAGTCCCAGCATATTGACGAGGAGTTAAACATCTGATGGCGACAGGAAGGAAGGAAGCGCTTTGTGGTGCATCTTGGTGGAATGAGTCCTCCACTGAAGGCACCTGAACATTGGTCATGGGTTGCGGTCGGATAATCCAAAAATCAGCTCCTATCGTCTAACCCAGTGGTTCTCAAACTTTTTTCACTAATGTACCCCCTTTGAAAAAAAAATTCGACCAAGTACCCCCTGATCAGTGCAAAAACTATTTGTTAAGGAATAAATGCCTATATAAAGAGGTACAGTACAGCGCTGCACCATCAGTGTCTGATTTATTAAAACAACAACATTGTAACTGAGAAACACTTAAATGCTACATTTCAAATGTTTACAATCCGTCACTAAATTCATGGCAAACCAATTTTAACATCATGCAATAACACTAAGACGACATTAGTTGCATTTAACTGATCTTTTTAATAAGTTGTACTTACAATGTAGTGAGAAACATGGGCTCGTGCTTCACTGAGGATCTTTGTCATTCTGACAGGGAGGCAAACTGCAGTTATTACACTCTGCGTTTTGAAATATGTGTAACTCTGTTAAAAACCCACACTGCTCAAACTTCGTTACTTTTCCTAAAATTGGTATATTTGTATATTTATTTATTTTGGGGCGTGGTGAATGAAGAGAAAAAAAGATATGAGCATTTTATGAGCATGGGATTTTGACCCCTCATATAAACATATGCATAATAATAATAATAATAGATTTAATTTGTTAGCGCTTTTACAGGTGCTCAAAGACGCTTTACATATATAGTGAAGAGAAAATAAAATAGTGCTGCGCTATACTTTGCGGCCACACGTCGTTGCCAAGCAACGCTTATTGTTTAAGTCCTTTGAAAAGCAGACAGTCATATAATTAACTAGAACTAGCTAGATCTGATAGATTTGGACATAGACGCGAGTGAAGTCTAACCGGACGCGAGAGAGAGAGATCAGATCAGCTGCTGCTGACGGAGAACACGCAGCTCTGCATGATCACAGCTCCGCCGCTGTGACGGACCGGTGAGTGGAGCAAAATGAAATACACTAAGAGTTAGACCTAACACACTTAGCTAGTTTATCTACTCTGGAACAAGCTAAACTAGTTATAAATATATGTATTCTTTACTGTCGGGTCACTTATTACAGGTTCAGCGAGCTGCACGAGACTAAAGGCCCTGTCACACTGTCCCGAAATTGACACCCGATGGACACACGAATATGGAATTGTGAATTTCGCACGAAGATGGCCCCGAACCACACACGAAGGCAACATTTACATTACATTTAAGACATACAACTGCAATGAAAGTACCAAAAACAATTGTGTTACAGTACTATGATACTGTACTGATATATTCAGACTTTGTTCTTTACTTTATCCGTCGTTATATGTAGAAAATATTACGTTTTCTCCGTAATGTTGTTTCCATAACAACAACAACTTCCTGTCAACTGTCCTTCAAAATAATATATTATATCCTTTTTAGTTTCACAGAACACAAATTGGGTTATTTACATAATATATTTACATGATTTTGTTGTGCAATAAATCAACCCGATGGACACACGATAAAGGAAATGTTCAAATTCGGCTGTGATCGTAGCAACATCGGGCCATTCGTGAGGGCATCTTAAGCCATCGTATGACTGCCGGTGGAGTTTCTCAGGCTCCGGCAGCAACTTCGTGAGCAGTGGCAAAATCTTTGGCATGCCAAAAAATTGCCGAAGGACCTTGCGAAGGTTCATTTTCGTGTTGAATTCGTGTGTCAATTGTGCCCTTCGTAAGGCCATCGTGAGGGCATCGTGTTATCATCGGTGCCATCAGGCATTCGCCCCGATCAGAGTGAGGGCGAATGCCCGATGGCACCGATGATAACACGATTTGACAAGATGTCCTCACGAGTGCCTTACGAAGTTGCCGCTCACGAAGTTGCTGCCGGAGCCTGAGAAACTCCACCGGCGGTCATACGATGGCTTAAGATGCCCTCACGAATGGCCCGATGTTGCTATGATCACAGCCGAATTTGAACATTTCCTTTATCGTGTGTCCATCGGGTGTCAATTTCGGGACAGTGTGACAGGGCCTTAACGGGCTGTCAGGAGAGGGAGAGGAAAAGAGAGCACCCCGTTTATTTTTCCCATTTTATTATCCAGAATTACTGTAAACTCTTGAAGAAAGTAATGAATCTACTATTAGTAGTTTGTGTAAATGCATTAATGTTTTTTTTTTCATTAACGTAAAAAAAAATCTCACGTACCCCCTGGAGTACTCCAACGTACCCCTAGGGGTCCGCGTACCCCCATTTGAGAACCACTGGTCTAACCCTATCGTCTATTCCTTGACCTGAGTGAAACGTCACGGGGTTAAGGGATAGTGGATAGGAGAATTCAAAAGGACTTAGGAGAAGAGACTGCGGTGCTTTAGAGAATCCGACTGCACTTTCACTATCCGACGTGTTTATGATGCGCCAGCGGACGTCCTGAATGTGCGTCTGCTGCTGTGGGGAAACTATGGAAACTACAGTTTTCTATACAGCGGACTACAACATGGATGTTCAATAAGAACGAGGGACTACTGTAAACTCATCTAGAGACTCTGCACCGTGCTCTGATGCTGTTGTTTTATGCTTTATGAACGTGGACAACAGAGAAACATATTCTTCATGACCAAAGTTGGAATTGAAATAAAAAAGGAAAGTGAAACTTATGCTCGTCACCCTCTCCCTCCGGTCCACATTAATACAAATGATCCCAATACGTATGATTGTATGAACTATGAACATGTCTTAAAATCAATACAGATGTATTTATTATAAACGTTAGTCCTTAACATCTATCACTGTGTATATCACCATTCAAACATCTTTTAAAAGTTGAACAAACTCCACACAGCTCAGTAAAGACTGTGAGATGTTGACTTTATTTGATCATTTCAGTAAAAACTAACATTCATATTTCTCTTTTTGATTATAATACTGATGAACGTTCAGAACAAAGCACTTTGGCAACTTACAATATTTTAGGTTTCAGACAGGATGCAAACAACTGGAATGTCGTGTTCTTCAACCTAGGATCAATCAAGGAGTCTTCATACGATGTCACCCGACTTTCGCCTTCTTGTATTCACGATCAACCGTGTGAATAGATGATAAAACCTACTAGGCGTAGCAGTCCCCTACTGTCTCCACAGCAATGAGGCTGATGACACTCATTGAATCAGCCTTTAACAATAGGACCGGGTGTCTTTGGACTTTGACAACATATGTGAAAGCTTTTATCAGAAACGTGAATAAAAAACATTCAATACAACATTTGCAGTTCTAACAATCTATTCTGGTACGTTGTAATTAAATTACGTGATACCCTTTGTGTGATCCTAATGTGAGCTGTAATGTACTGGATGTGAAAGAAAGAAACAAATAACATGTGTCCAAAAAGATGAGATGAACATGGGATCTTGTCTTCTCTGTCACAGCAATGTTGGACAGAATGAATGACTCTGGAAATAGGTTGTCATGGTGTCTGCTTAAACTTCTGCTGAACAGTATTTGTTTATTGGAACATGCTGGCTTAAGATGTGAAGTGTTTTTTTTTTTTATATTTGTGCTTTACCAGGGAACATGGCAGGCAGCAGCACAGTATAATGCACTAATTTAAGATGTGAGAGTCCAAGGCGGCTCCCACTTTAATGCTAAATGAGCACTTGACAGCAATACCAATACACTAATGCAGAGGAAACGTATTTGGTTTCTCTGTGCATTAGTTTTATGCTGCATGTGCTTTGTTTGTGTGCTTTCTTCAGGAAGTGCGATTCACCCTGGATCGTTGTTCAGGCGCCGCGGTGATGGAGATGGAGGGGCTGGGCAGCTGGTTGACCACCGAGGACCACTCCTCCTGTGAAGTGACCGGCGTTACCCCCAACACTGACAGGTACACACAACTAACCCTAACACCCAACACTGACAGGTACACACAACTAACCCTAACACCCAACACTGACAGGTACACACAACTAACCCTTACACCCAACACTGACAGGTACACACAACTAACCCTAACACCCAACACTGACAGGTACACACAACTAACCCTTACACCCAACACTGACAGGTACACACAACTAACCCTAACACCCAACACTGACAGGTACACACAACTAACCCTAACACCCAACACTGACAGGTACACACAACTAACCCTAACACCCAACACTGACCGGTACACACAACTAACCCTAACACCCAACACTGACAGGTACACACAACTAACCCTTACACCCAACACTGGTACACACAACTAACCCTAACACCCAACACTGACAGGTACTCACAACCAGGGGTTAAATTGCGATTTGATATGTGGGGGGGCTCTGCGTGGAGGTGCGAGAGGGGGACGGAGGTCGAGGATCTCATTATTTGACCTTCAGGGATATACACTGTGGCACTAAATCAACTGCTCCATTATCTGTATCAAATACTGTACACACATTGATGCCACCAAATGTCACAATACAAATAGAAAGTACTACAAATAAACTGGAATTCATTTACATCTTAAATTATTAATATATACACAAAAAAAGGTTTCCAAATATCCAACCTTCAAATTGCTTTTTTAAATCAACACTGCTCTGCACACTTGCTAAAGAACATTTGTGTGGAAATCTCAATTCATTTGTAGGGCTGCATGAGTATGGCCAAAACTATGGGAGTAAATCTCACTGTTAACTATTTAATCATCACCAAATTCTGTGTTATTATGACCGATCATAACTCAGCTTTATGCAGACATACATTTAGCATGGTGTACAGGGCCGGTTTTTGGCATAGGCGGTCGCCTAGGGCGCCAGATCTGGGGGGGGGGGGCGCTGCGCTGGCAGCTCTGGGAGGGAAAACATTTTTGACTGTTTGCGCTCATCCTAATTTTCAGCCTTGATGTAACAACATTCATAATTAAGTAAATGTAACACCCTTTTCACCCAGGTTACACTTTTCATTTGCCCTGTACGATGGGCGCTGTAAGTGATGAAAATGGGGGGTGTTGGCTTATCAGGCATCCGCAGCTCACAGCGAAAATGGGCGTGGGAGCGAGCAAGAGAGATAAATGCAATTTATGTAAACAAATATTTCCAAGGCACTCCTTTATAATTATTGGGATAAACAGGTTTGAAATAATTTCAATGTACAGTAAACCAAAAATATCGTTTAAAAGTTGAGAGATAAAAAAATATGCAAAAATAAATATTAACTAGGTAAAATAAGATATGAATGAACAACAAAAATAAAATAAGTTACATTAATTTGTTATTGGCTATGGTAGGTTATTGGTTATGTTCACATATTTGGTTATTAAAATGTAAACAGATCTTTTTCATATGGGTGTTTAGAGTTGTACCCCTTAGATCTAGTCTCTAGTAATGTGTGCTTAAAGTGCACCAGATTGAAGCATTTTACTTTACATTTTCAAAATGTCTTCCCGTCCACACCCCAATTAAAACATGTTCATACAATACTGAATACATTTGAAGCCTTTTTGATGTATATTACCTATGTCAATAAGTTTCTGTTTTGGTAGTGTATTGGTCTTTTGTAGAGATTTCATTTATTCTTTATATATTCTATTGTGTATTCCTTGGATACTTTTAACTTTTCTACTGTACGATTGAAGTAAATGTGGGAAGCGTTTAACAACAGCCATTTACTTCAAAGATTTTTCTCAATGTTATTCTTATTTTTGTTAATCCTGGAAGAATGCCAGAAAAAAGACATTCTCTTCAAGAATAAAAAAAAACATGACATTAGTAATTGTGATAACAAATTAAATAAGTTGTTTGGTTAAGTCAGGGCCGGTTTTTGGCATAGGGCGCCAGATCTGGGGGGGCGCTGCGCTGTCAGCTCTGGGAGGGCGCCAGCAAAAATATCGCCTAGGGCGGCAAATTTGTTAGAACCGGCCCTGATGGTGTAGGAAACGGGCTCCGTGTTACAAGACGGGTCGGGGGTTTGGCGGTACCGCTGCAGACTCTCTGCACACACACGCACACGCACACGCACACACACACACACACACACACACACACACACACACACACACACACACACAGGGTTGGGAGGGTTACTTTGTAAATGTAATCAGTTACTGATTACTGAATACATGGCTCTGAAAGTAATCTGAATACAGTTACAGTTGCGTGTCTTAAAAAAAAACGTAATCAGATTACTTTTAGATTACTTTTGGATTACTTTATTTTTCCATCACAGACAGATGGGTATGTTTTGGTGAACAGGAGACACAAAAAGCAAAAGGAAACTGAACGTGTTTTTACTGTTTTAATGGCTTATCAAGAGCACAACTGAAACATCACATCTGAAACGATGCAACAACATAATCAACTTTTTTTTTAATCAACGGGGGTGTCTCTCTGCCAGTGTTGGCAGGACATGAATTAAAATGTCGAACTCGGACTTCATTTTATGGACTTTTCGGCCAGGGGTGTAGAGCTATATTTGTTTAAGCACCGGATTGGCAAAACAGGAGAGTGTGTGCACCAGTCTGCCTTGATCTATGAATTCATGTCCGTGACACTCACAGTATCTGCTGCCCACAGCTGTTTTATAGAAGGAACACCTCCTTCACTTCATGAAATCTCTGCAGCACCAGGAGGCAGCGGGAGGGTTAACTCAGCCTCTGAGAAGACGAGCGCGCCGTGCCTTTCACGCACCGCCTTTCACGCACCGCCTTCACTTCACTGTGTTTACCTTCAGAATCATTAGAAAGGCTAAAGAGCGGTGTGGCTGATGTGTTTTAACCACACACACCTCTACAAACACACACACACACACACACACACACACACACACACACATACACACACACACACACACACACACACACGATTTAAACGCACACTTCTGTTCCTCCATGTTTCGTTGTTATCGTTTCACTGAGCGGACCCGCCCCTTTTCTTTTTAAAACGCTCCCTTTTTTGGTCCATCTGCGGCGGTAGGTTTTGTGCGCTGTGATGATTCGGCTGTACCTTTAGTAATGAATATGAAATGTTGTGAGGAAATCTTTCCACCAATAATTCCAATAAGTAATCCAAAATGTATTCACTTCAGGTTTACGAAAGTAACTGTAATCAGATTACTCGTTTTTCAAATGTAACGCAAGCTGAATACAGTTAGGCCTACTTGATTTGTGTATTCTGATTACGTAACGCTGTTACACGTATTCAGTTACAACCCAACCCTGCACACACACCACTGCACACCGGTGCTACACACCACTGCAGACTCTCTGCACGAAGGAGCCGCGGTGCTGCAGCTCCTGATCGGAGCAGAGACACACGTTCACTAAGCGGAAAAACTATATCCTGTCACAGATATCTGCTATCTTAAAGTAAAGTCAACACATATCGACCCTAAATAAAGTCTATATTAAGAACGAGAGATGTTTTAACATATGTCTTAAACAAATGACAAATGAGCGAGGGTGATGACGCCAGAGCATCGTATATGTGCCGGGGCTGAGCCCCGGACAGCCCCGGCCCAATTTAACCCCTGCTCACAACTAACCCTAACACCCAACACTGGTACACACAACTAACCCTAACACCCAACACTGACAGGTACACACAACTAACCCTAACACCCAACACTGACAGGTACACACAACTAACCCTAACACTCAACACTGACAGGTACACACAACTAACTCTAACACTCAACACTGAGAGGTACACACAACTAACCCTAACACCCAACACTGACAGGTACACACAACTAACCCTAACACCCAACACTGGTACACACAACTAACCCTAACACCCAACACTGACAGGTACACACAACTAACCCTAACACTCAACACTGAGAGGTACACACAACTAACCCTAACACCCAACACTGACAGGTACACACAACTAACCCTAACACCCAACACTGGTACACACAACTAACCCTAACACTCAACACTGACAGGTACACACAACTAACCCTAACACCCAACACTGACAGGTACACACAACTAACCCTAACACTCAACACTGACAGGTACACACAACTAACCCTAACACCCAACACTAACAGGTGTACACCAATAACCCTAACCCCAACACTGCATCAGAGAGTGTGTGTTAATCCATGTGCTTTTTATCAGGGCATCATTACAGTTATAGGGCCAAGCAAAAGGGGGAACAATTTAATAGAGTAATAGCTCTCATTACACTTTAATGCATCAATAATTATAATCAAAATGTATCATATATATTATTCTGAAATGGACAAATCTGCATAACAAGTACTTTTGGTACTTTAAGTTTATTTTGATTCTAAAACGTTACTGCTTTTACTTGAGTAACCTTTTCAATGCAGGACTTTTACTTGTAACAGAGTATTCCTACACTCTGGTGTTTCTACTTTTGCTCAAGTACAACACCTGAGTACCTCTTCCACCTCTGGTATTGAGGTATAACACAAGATTTGCACAGTTTTCTAGGAATTCTTACAATATGCAGTTTAAAAATTGTGGTAAAAAACATAAAATACTTGATAAGTGTGAATATAACCTATAATCCTGCTCACAAAACACAACAACGTGGTTTTTACAATTGAATTTGAATCCTAAATTATAAAATACTAAACAGCCCTACATTATTAATGTTTAGTAGGAAACATAACTAACAAGGGCGACAATCATGTTAGGGGTGTGGACAAAAATGCATGCAATATACTTGTAAAATAATAAGAAAATAGTGTCGTTTTGCGAATGTAAAGTGAATGGACTTATGCTCTCTTGCCACACTTATGGCTCTTATAGAAATAGGCTTCCTATTTGTCACTTGAATTGATGCTTCATTTCATGTTGATATTAAACGGCTAGATTAAAATAACACTATGCTAATGGCTACAAATAGGTGTCTAATGGAAGAGTCAAATCCTATTTCGTGCCAATTTGTCAACACTTGTTTATACATGTTTCTGTTTGGATTTTCAAGCCTTTTTGGTACTATATGAGCTTTGAGCCATGATTGGCAGTATTGCCAGTTTGTATACATATGTGTGTTCTCATGCCTCTGTTTGTTTTAGACACCTGAACATGAGCCAGGTGCTGCAGCTCGGCGGAGTGAACGAGGACATCCCATACGTCTACCCTCAGCTGCAGCACAAACACTTCAGCGGCTGCATCCGCAACCTCATCGTGGACAGCAAGGTAACACACTCTGACACACACACACCTGAACACACCTGAACACACCTGTACACACCTGTACACACCACACAAACTGAAACTCCGGCCTGCACTTTAGCTGATAAATGGATTTATAAAAGATTTCAACATTCACAGTACACTTGTAAGAGATGTTTTTTTATGCTTTTAACTGTAACCTTCAAAGCGCTTTCAAATATTACACATGTGCCCTCCAAGGGTGAAATGGAATAAAAATGTACCCGCTGCCCAACCCAGGCGAACCCAAAGCATTTCTGCATGAACACAGGCCTCAGCCATTTGGGTACACGCTGCCTTCTCAAGCCTCAAATCATGCTTATTGTCTGCTTTATTTTTTGGCCTTGGCATCAAATACACCTGGAACTAAGGCTGCTCTCACACCTATCCTGGTTGGATCAATTAAAGGGGCCCTATTATGGTTTTTTATTATTCCCTTGAATGTGTTTTATAGGTTTGTGCGCATGTTAATAGTCTGCAAAAGCTAAAATCCCCAAGTTTCCTTCCAGAGGGAGTTTCCCTTCCACACACTCCACCCCCCGCCTGAAACGCCTCCGTTGGACTGCTTTCTTTACTTCCCTAACATATTGAGATCACTATGTAACACTCGCACTTCTATTGGCTGGCGTTCCAACACATTGTACGTGATAGGCTAAGGGCTGGGACATCTTTAAGCGGTTGACCAATCACAACACAGTCGATCCCTCACAGTGAGCTACTTCCGCCCCGTGTGTGAGATTTGTTTCACTTCAAACATGAATGTGAACACATCCATACGGAACAGGACAAGGGCCACATAAGAAAAATTGTATGTGACCAAAAGTTTAAGAGTTGTGACTTTTTTCCAATAATTATGAGATTAAATAAAAAAACAAAAATCTCATGTTGCCCAAACCTCTTCCACAGATCCAGAATCCCAAAATGAGGATTAAGCTCTGTAATGTGAATGTAACCATAGAGACAGACAATCATTCACGTTGACACCTACGTGCAACTCACACATTAACCGAACCTGCATGTCTTTACTGTCTTGTAATGTGGGAGGAAAACGGATCTCCCAGAGACTACCCACGCAGGCATGGGGAGAACATGCAACATCCACACAGAAGGGCAGTAACAATGCATCCATCCTCCTTTAAAGCTCTATTAGGATGTTGAACCTGTAGAGTGGGGGTATACAAGCATGTATGTTTCTCCTGCTGCGTGCTGAGGTGCACCTTAGCTGCAGACTTAGCGGGAGGCTGCCTGAACGCCACGTACTAATGAGAGAAATCTGCATGATGCGTGTGGGCGGACACGAGGATAATACATCTCCAAAGAGCAAGCAACAGTAGGCGTACTGATGATTAATGATGATGGACGTGTTCCGGCGTTGTATGGCTTTTACTTTTGTTATCTTTTTGTATTCATTCAGTGATGTTGTTCTTCTCTCATTATTACTTTTCAGAAAACCTTTTTTCATGCCTTTTCTGGTCCTCTATTGTTTGTAGGAGACTGAAGGACTAAGGTGTGATTATATCAAAGTCTTGCTGAATCAGCAAAACAAAAAGCGTTTTTCTAAGCTTATGTAAAGTTGACTTTTTAGAGATTTTTGATTCTCACGACAACAGCTATTCAAAAAGGCCCAACTTTAAACATATGCAACATTAAAATGCAACATGCACATTAATACAGTATATATAGATCGAAAAACATCACATATGATCACAATACTTTTTGCTGATAATACTTTTATTTATTTTTATTTATTTCCTTTTATTACTTTTCAGAATGATCTTTCCCTACTTTTTTGTTGGTCAGTGAATTGATCTGGAAGACTGAAGGATACATTGTGCATGTGCATAATGTTTAAAACCCTCTTGAATCAGCGAAAAGCGACAAAAGGATTTTAAAGTTATGATGATTTCGTAGACCATGATGCATTGCTGTAGATTAAACTACTCGACAGAACACATAGAAGTAGCAATAAGAATGTGCAATAAGACCAACCTTCTTCACATTAATTCAGAAGTCAAATTCGTCCAAAAACATCACACTTAGTAGCTAAACAATGATCGTGGGAACATTTGACTGCACAATCAATACTTTTTCATAATTTAGGTACATGTTTCTTGCAACACTTTTATAACTGAACTAAATATGCAAACATTTTAAATGCAGTAGTGCTTTAGTGTGGTATTAGTACTTTAAATAAGGCAAAAACCAAAATACTTCCACAGAGTCCACAATCAATGTTTTTACATACTGAGTACAAATACATGTTTGAGTACCTCACTTCACTAAGTAGGATTTTGAATGCAGTACTTATACTGCTATACTACTTATACAGTATACATGACTATTTTCACTATGGTATTGGTTATTTTACTTAAGTAAAGGATCTGAAAATGTATTCCACCACACTTTCATGTAATATGTTTGTCTGGAGTTTTGATTCTATATTTGTTTTGTGTGTAGGACATTATATTGTGTGTTATATTGCTTCATGCTTTGATAAGGTATCAGTGTGTGTCTACTGTGAGTGTGTCTGTATGTGTGTTGCTTTCGGACAAAAGTTTACATTTCTTAGCATGTCTCTCTTTTGAAGCCAAATAGCATGTTAGTGTGTTTCCTCCTAACGTAATGCTGATACATGCTGGGGTGAATATGATCATTTTATATTTGTGTTTCTATTCCGGAGTTGGGTATTTCCCTTCTGGCTGTCATTGGCCATCACCTTTTTTTAACTCTCCATCCTTCTCCTGTCATTATTCTCTCCCTTCAGCTCTCAGTCATTGCAGCTTTAAGTTCTCCACTTGTTTTGACAAAACTGTCACTCCATTTTTTAAGTATGGCAGTTTTGCAGTTAAAGGGGTTGGGCTAATGGCATTTTTGAAAGCTTGCAGTTCTTAAGTGAGGTTATTTTTTAAATGTTTCTCAGCAGAAAGTTTGCCTCATAGCAGATGCAGAACATTATGGGAAAATGTAGAAGATGTGAATGCTGTATGGTAAATTGCAGACTATAGGTGTTACATCAACAACCAGTAGACTTGGGGAGTAATGGATTACAGGTAACATAACGTTATAAACCCTGACCACCAGTAACTACAAGTGTTGCCATATCAACCAGAACTTAAATTCCTGTTAAGTTAAATGTTTACTGTCAAACACTACAGCAGAAAAAATATACGATTTTGTTGACACCAGTATCATTATTCATCCTGCTAATCCGTCAAATTCCTTACAGCTTCCTAATCAAGTAAATATTAGTCGAAAAAACGTTGGCCAAAACAGCTTTCTGGCATCAACGCCAATGTATTACATGAGACAATATGTGCAATATTTGTACAGTTTCTTTCTCTCTGCTATCATATGCCAAATTATTGCAAGTATCCAGCCAGACACACGTCAGCACGAGTTTTACATCTTTGTTTTGTAATATGCATCCGTCAGTTAAATGTGCCGCCTTCGATTCAAGGAATTGATATGTTCGGAAGGATATCATTCCAATATATCGGATCATTTGGAACCGGTTCTCTATTGGAAGGAGAGTAATTGGATATTATTGTTCTTACAACTTTGCAATGACTATTCCCCCTGCACAAAGCCAGGTCCATTAACAAATGCACAAAACGTGCACAGATCTCTGAACCCAGCCCCATCCAACACTCACACTAATGCTTGTGTGGAAGAAAATCCCTCCTGACTGGCTTCAAGATATTGTGCAAAGCTTCCCAGAAGAGTGACTGCTGTTATGGTTTAGGAAAGAAGTGTTCATCAATCACCCATGGAAGTACAGTTGGGATGTCTCCCAACATGCAGTATATAACAAGAAGTACCAAAGCTTTTCTGGCCTTATGATGGGCCGGCACCTGGGTAAAACACCATACAGCATTCACTGAAGCATTACCGTTAGCTACACATTAGCTTACCGTTACCTTTGGTTTTTCAAATGATGTATCTTCCTTTTTCGTATTTAAAACTGTGTTATTCTGACATTCAAATGTTGAGCTCTTTGGGTGGCATCAGACCTTTGTCTATGTGTGTTGCTCTCCATCACATCACCCCACTTTCTGCACAGCAATCCCAGCTGTAAATGTTAGTGTAGAATTTGTCTTTCACTTCCTGTGGGCTGAGACATTGTTATCCCCAACACCTGGAATTAATCTGGGCAGACTACAGTGTCTCCGTGTGGGTGTGACGCTCCTCTCGGCTGCATCCAGAATTGATCATTTAAGCTCAAACAGGTGTATTTATACATGCAACTCGTATATCAGTCAGTTTTCTGCTCTGACTTCACACCACGGTGACACAGATGGGGAGTCAAATCAATCGCAGACACCCTGATGTGTCTTTCTCTCATTGATTGCTGATGTCTGCGTTTCATGGCAATAGTGATCGGCCCGACCCAAACAGAGGAGCTTTAAAAGGTCAGCCACCGGCAACATGCCTGTTTGCTGGAGGTCAGAGCCAATCAGCAACTTCCTGGCAGCATGACTCACTGTCAGACATTACGATCCTTTACGCTCCTATGTCCTCGCCGAAGCACCAACAAAACTCATAAAGTTTGGTTCGGCAGGGAGGGGATTCATCATATTAATGTCTTTTATGGCTTGATTTTGTGAGGGACACAAATGTAGGTGTTCAAGGTTCCCCCATCCTTTCAGCTTGCCGTGCAGTCGTCCACGCTGTCTGCCTGTTAGAAGTTTGTTTGGTTTCATCACTGCGGGAATAAAGAGGGTATAGAGAAAATTGGATAAGGGTAGAAAAGCAGAGACACTGGGTGTTTCTCAATGTCGAGGAAGGCTGCTCCAGAGCCACTATTTCAAGCATACTACATCATCGAGTGCCGCCGAAGGACTGTTCCAATGTCCAGGATGCTTGGAATTCTACCGAGGCCGGCATACTTCGTTGCGGGAAATTTCGAGGCTGCACATGTGTATGGTCTTAAAATCCCCACAATGCTTTGTGCACAGACCAATTTCCAAATTGTTGGCGGAAATAGTGCTCCATTTAAGGCGGGGCCTCGCATTTGACGCACACCTGCACAGTGTTAATTTCGTCAACGAAAACTATGATGAAAAATGTTCGTCAACGACCTTTTTTACATGACTAAGACGAGACGATGACGAGCTAAAAATAGATTCTTGATAACGAAAACTTTGACGAAATGTATATTTAGTTTTCGTTGACGGGACGGGACTAAGGTGTTAATGGTGGACTATCGGACATTCAAAATGCAGGGTATTTCCCCCCAATTGTCCGTGTTGTCTGTCAAAATGCAACTTAGGTTTCTAACATGCAATATCATTATTTCCGCTCTCTTCACTCCAGAAGATATGATGAATTGGAAATGGGGGACCCTGATGTAAACAAGACGAAAGTCTTTCTCTGGTCTGCATCCCCTTAACAATTGTATGTTTTGAGCTGTAGCCTACTGTACTGTACCCAATATACAAGCTGTTAATAAACTTTTCAATCAATCAATCAAAGAGCGATCTCCCTGTGTCTCTCTGTGTGCGGGGGGCGGGGCCTAACAGGCACAGCCGGGGACGGAGCGTTCAGAAGTATAGAGACACTCTACAAGGCTCGATGTGGACAAAGCTCGTTTGCTATTAGTGTTTTCGCGTTAGCGCGTTGACACGACATGTCATATTCAGTCGGAGAAATGCACAATTTTCGACTTCCTTAACTCGTCTGTTGCCCCAATTACGAGCAGTGTTGGGACTAACGCGTCACACAGTAACGCGTTACTGTAACGCCGTTATTTTTGGCAGTAACTAGTACTCGCATTACTTTTTAAATTCAGTAACTCAGTTACCGTTACTACATGGTGCGTTACTCCGTTATTTTTTTGTATATAGTCAACAGCCAGGCGAACAGAGATGAGAACTGTACTTAAGTACAGTACTTGAGCAAATGTACTTAGATACTTCCTGTGTCACATGCGGAGACGGGCAGTGGGCGTGTTTGTGTTGTTTACTAACAAGACTATCATGGCGGCGGCGGAGCTCAAGTCTAGTTTCTCCACCTGGAGATATTCTCACTATTTCACTTTTGTCGAGCACAAAGAAAAGAAAGTTTCTGTTAAATGTAAGTTGTGTCCTGGCGGGTCAAAGATCCTATCTACTGCCCAAACCAGTAATTCAAATCTCTTAAAACATCTGCAAAAACAACATGCTGGGACGAAGCTAGTAGCTAAGACCACAGAGACTCAGCCGACGCCACTCCACCTCCACCTAAGCAACAGCGGTAACGCATTACTTTTTGGTGTAAGTAACTAGTAAAGTAACTGAGTTACTTTTGAAATGAAGTAACTAGTAATGGTAACTAGTTACTGGTTTTCAGTAACTAGCACAACACTGATTACGAGTAACGTTATCACATCAGGTTCCTACTCAGATCTTGTAGTTAAGTAAAAAAAATACCATAGTGTAGGAAGAGTTCCTCAAGTAAAAGTATGATCATCAAAATATAGTGAAAGTAGCGACAGTAAAAGTAGTCATTGTGCAGATTGGTCCATTTCAGAATAATATGATATGTTTTATAATGATTGATCATTAAAGTGTTGTCAAAGCGGGTAAAGGTGCAGCTAGTTTGAAGGACTTTGTATACTGCATAAATGTAATTTTTCTTCGACTAAAACTAGACTAAAACGTTTTGAGTTTTCGTCGACTAAAACTAGACTAAAACTATGAAGGATAGAAATGACTAAAATGTGACTAAAACTAATAACCATTTTCGTCTAAAGACTAAGACTAAATCAAAAACAGCTGCCAAAATTAACACTGCACCTGCACACCTGTTGGCCTGTTCCACCATTCTTCGTTTTCCGAGGCTAGGAAGGATTCTTGCCTTGCTTCTGAAGGACCTGACTCGGAGGGACATGTCCTACCAAGGAAGCGTCCTCGACATTGAGAAACACCCACTGTACCCTGAGCGCATGTCCTTCAACACGTTCGGAAGTTTCTCTCCTGATTTGTTTCAGTGTCTATGTGTTACCCCCCACCTGTCTTTCCTGTGTCTTCTTCAATCCCTTTCTCTGCTGTTGATTTTCTTTTTTGTCTCTTTCCTGTTTGTTATCTACAAACTGTTTATCGACAACCAGAGTTGGGAAGTAGTGGAGTAAAAATACCTTGTTACTGTACTTAAGTATATTTCTCTGGTATCAGTACTTTACTCCACTACTTATTTTTCTGACGACTTTTTACCTTTAATTCTTTCATTTTTACACAAATACCTGTACTTTCTACTTCTTACATGTTGAACTCAAATACCTGTACTTTCTACTTCTTACATTTTCAAAACAGGCTGGTTACTTTAGTTTGAATGTGTGTTTGGTGGCGTGATCATTATTATGTAGTCATTGCGTGCCTATTGATTTGAACATGATCCGTGTATCCATCATTTCCTGGTCTTCTCTAAAGAAGAGGGACCAATGGAAACGTTGTCATGTTGCCGTTGTTCAGCATGGAAACATTCATTAGCTAACAATGACATTATTGTTCTATTAATATAAAGGGAGGTCAGGTACTCTTTAAAACAGCTGATAGTTATGGGTACTTTTTACTGAAGTACATTTCAAAGCCCATCCTTCTTTACTTTTACTTGAGTAAAGACGTTTAGTCAATACTTCTACTTTTACAAGAGTAGTTATAAACACGGGTATCTGTACTTCTACTCGAGTAAAGGATGTGTGTACTTTTTCCATCTCTGTCGACAACTCCCTACTCCTCTTCTCTTCTCAACTTCACTTTTTCTCTTTCCTCCCTTCCATTCCCTCTATCTCCTCCATGCAGCTGTACGATCTGGGCTCCCCGGCTGACTCCAACTCCAGCTCTCCCGGCTGTCTGACCACCGACAGCAGCTGTGTCAACATGGGCTATCCGTCCTGCGGCCACCGGGGACGCTGTCACGGCGAGTGGGGCTCCTTCAGCTGCCAGTGTTTGCCGGGATACGCGGGCCACCAGTGTGAAGAGGGTAAGCCAAACTTATTTTGGACCTATGAATTAAAGGGATACGTCAACTGTGTGGTGGATTGTACCATTAGCAACAAAACAAAACCCATCCGTGCATCTATGAAAGATCAGTGGAAACTATGGTGAGACCCAGAATATAAATCAAAGCGTAGTTTGTAGTTAATCAAAATGGGGAGAAGCAGTAAGGTCTGGAAGTTTTAAACCAGAATATGTAGTTTGGCTATCAACCAGAAAAAGGGGCACTTTAATGCAACAATCCTGTGGGAGCCATCAGGGAAGTAGTATGATGAGAGTCAGGCAGGACCACAGCAACAGGCTCAGCCACGACTCAGGATCCCGGCGTAGATAGACACCAAAAAGAAATTTGGGGGAAGCTGGGTTATTGGGAACATGAGTACACAGGTACAGACCAGGCCCGGTTCCAGAACAAAGTGACTCAGGGTGCATCTGAGATTAGAGAGGGTGCAGTGGTAAAGTGCTATTTTTATATGTGGGGAGTGGACCCAGCGCCCTCTAGGGGGGTCCGGGGGTATGCTCCCCCGGGAAGATTTATTTTTAAATATTGAAGTTAATAGCATCAATCTGATGCACTTTGAGAGCAAAATGAAGAGATCTATGGATACATCTCAACACCTATATGAAACAGAACTGTAAACAGATGTACTTATTCTTTATGGATATTTTACAAATCACTCCCCTTTTAAGACCGTAATGTCTACAGGCATACCAGAAGATGGCATCATTTGTACAGGAATATTCCAGCCAATCTCTGTTTTGAAACCATGAGTTGCAAAATGAGCGCCTTACCCCACTGTACAGGCGAGTTGGGTACTTTCTTAACACTAGAACCGCCAATCGGGTCAATTTGACCCAGAGCTGTTTTTTATTGTAGGCTATGTAACTTTTTTTCAATAAAATATTAAAGTCTCCCAGTCCGTGACTTTTCTTGAAAGTGTGTTATGTAGCACTCTATGTTGTTAAAAATTGTCAATATGAAGTCAGATTGAAGAAATCGCCAAAGAAATTGCCATTTATGGACTATTTCCGCCCAGCGGGTCATATTGACCCAACCCCTTTTCGCGCTATTAATTTTGCGTGTAAACAAACATGACGTGTTGCTATAGCAACGACTTTTGTCTACTGCGGTTCCTTATAGATTGAGAGAGAGAGAGATAGATAGATATATTGATAGTGACAGTCTGTAGTCAAGGAGCACGCTCACGGGAGACTGCTTGCGCTGCGCTCCGCAGCAAACAGCTGTTTGCTTTTCACCCAACAACGACAACCGCCTCAGGAAACGCTATGTTGTAGCATTAATAAACGAAACAATTGAACAAAATTGCTTGTCAAAATACCAATACCATAGGACAATTTTTCTCTTTAAAGCAATACTTTTACCTTGAAAATCAATGCATTCTAATACCGGGTCAATTTGACCCCGGTGGCGGTTTTAGGTATAAAAAATCTCTGGCGGTTCTAGTGTTAAATATACCTGGGCAGGCTCTGTTTTGCCGAGGTCCTCTGGCACTTGCGGGCTGCCGAGGGGTGGCGGTGTTTGGGGCAACGAAGACGGCTGCGGCTGCTCCACCTCCGTGGGCGAGGCGGGCAAAGCTGGTGAGTCGGGCGGGAGGACGTTAGTGTCCACGACAGTGGCCGCGGGTAACGTAATGTCCCCATGATCTGAACTGTTATTACCTGCAGTCGATGCAGTGTTACTGCTGGCGATAAGGGCTGGTGGTTTTAACCATTTTCTGATGTCTATCATTGACTGCTGTGTAAGCACCTTGCAGATGACGAACGCGCAGCGGCACAGGTCACACGCACCTCACATAATAACGTTACTTACCGTTTAATTTGACCAAATAAATGCAGCAAACAATGTTATTTAACCACAATTTAATTTATTTCAACTATATTCTTATTATTATTATTATTAATACTATTATTATTATTGTTATTATATATGTAATATTTTTCACTTTTAATTTTATTTTCACTTTTAATTTATTTATTTTTCACTTTTAATTTTTCAAATGAGGGTGCATAACGACTCAACTGAGGGTGCAACGCACCCTTATGCACCCCCGTAGAACCGGGCCTGGTACATACAGAGAGAAGGAAGAAGTAAGGTGTCCCCCGACAGTCTACTCTAAGCCTATAGCAGCAAAATAAGCTTTATCAAAAAGGAAGGTCACACCAAGCCGATTTCGGCCGTCGATAGATGTCTGGCCGTGCGGAGGCTGTCGGCAAAATAAATCACTCTGATTGGCTGTTCAGCTTAGCGAAACACTATTTGCCTGAATGGGAGTGGAGCAGTAGTACTTTAAAATGTACTTTGTAACTGTCCACAATATGCCTAGAAGTATTTTAATGTTGTAGCTGTTCAAGATGGTCATTTTTAAATGTTTTAAATATATACTGTTAGTAGTTAAACCAATAATAATGCTATGGCTGCAACTGACAGTTATGTAGGCACTTTTAAATGTGTTCTTAATGCTGTGTGATTAAAAAAATAAACACAAATAGCAGGATAGGCATACATATTTGCTATATCTTTCCCCACTGAAAAGGCACTGCACCGATACTGTTAAAATATTGGCATAGTTCATCCCTGTGCTGATTGGCTCTAGCTGTAGCATATAGCTATTTGTATATATCACGCAGTCTGTCTTCTGGTTGCCTCTTTTGAATGACGAATACACACTACCTCCGCCTGCTGGTAAGGAGAGTGATTGCCACTCACGCATGCGCAGTTCGTACGTGCTACTTGGCCGTCGGCTTGGCCGTCTGAGTGTGTTCCAGTGCGACTGTTTGGCCAAGACGCAGAGACGTGAGGCGACACAACAGTCGTGTTCCATCGGGACGTGTTCTTTGGTGTCAGTTTGCTGTGTAGGGGCCTTTAAGCGCACTCTTAAAAACGGATAGGCTGTCTGCCGCCCGAACACAAACTGGAAGCTGATTCCACAAGTAGAGCTTGATAAGAAAAGGCTCTGGCTCCCATTGTACTTTTAGAGACTCTAGGAACAACCAACAACCCTGCATTCTAGGAACGCAATGCCCTAGTTGGACAGTAGGGTACAATGAGTTGGCGCCTGCCCGTTAAAGGCTTTGTAGGCGAGAAGAAGCATTTTAAATTCTATCCTGTGTTCTATAGGGAGCCAGTGTAAGGCAGCCAGAACAGGAGTAATGTGGTCCCTTTTCTTAACTCTGGTTAGTACACGTGCTGCAGCATTTTGAATCAGCTGAAGCGACTGACTTCTTGGTACACCCTGATAATAAAGAGTTACAATAATCCAGCCTTGAAGTAACAAATGTATGGACTAGTTTCTCTGCTGTTTTGAGGCAAGATATGCCTTATTTTTGCAATGTTACTTAAGCCCCTTTCACACCAGCGCTTTTTCAGCTCCGGCTCGGAGCTGGAGCCTGAAAAGCGCCGGTTTTTCCTGTTCACACCGCAGCGGCGCCGGCTCTTAGCTCCGGAATCCGGTTCACTTCCAGCTCCAAAAAATTGTCGGTCTAGAGGCAAGAGCTTCGGAGCTAAGAGGCGGCGTCGCTTACGTCTCTCTTACGTCGAGGCGTGCAGGAAACTAAACCCACCTCCCCTGAACATGGGTCGACTGTCATGCCTGCCTACAAGCAGTAGTGCTTATAAACACACTTTATAAAGTCAGGCAACACTAACCAGGCTTCGTGTGATTCTGTTTATTTGTACCTTACTTTGACCATCCGTTCACTGTTATTGATCCTTGTGGAGAGAGGCAGACGTGTTGTTTTGTATTATAGCAGCTATCGGATGGAATCAATACATGGGCTGCACAGGTTGTCGTGTCCGACTATCACGAGTAGAATCATAATAAAAATACGCCGGTAAAATGTGCCTGTAGAAAACGGTTTATGCCACAATAGGATAGCAATAGCAAGTAGTCAGTTTAGCTTCGGTTGCTATGCTAACATCACCCATTTTATACCAGAGAAACTTTCATAACAGCGTTGTGATGCCAAACAGCGTCAATTCAGACTGACACACATTCACTTAGGCTAAGGGGAACTATGTGCTGCTTGTGTGAGTCGGACAGTGAATACTTTAGAGCGGCCGCAGCTGTGTGAGCTAACCGGGAGCTAACGGGAGAATAAACTCCCGTGGAAGAGCAGCCAACACTGCAGCGGTCGGTAAATGCTGCAGAAACACATTCATAAACAATGAACCACGGCACTCTGGAGCAAAGTATAAGGTTGGAGAAGTCGTTATTTAATTTATTCTGGCTTCATGTGATTAAAAGCAACACGATTATCAACCCGACGCAGTTCCCCGTTGTTGTTGTGAGCGCCGTAATGCCGTTGGGGAGCAAATCAGCGATGTGAACGGTGACGTCATGACGCAGCAGCGGCAGCACCAGTCGGGTGCTGGGCGGTGTGAACAGAGCGGGAGCAGAAAAGGGAAACTGGAGCTGAACCAGAAAAGCTCTAGCTCAGAGCTAGAAAGGGAAAAGCGCTGGTGTGAAAGCCGCAATAGATGGAAGTAGGCGGTCCGTGAGATACATTTTATGTCGGCGTTAAAGGATAAATCCTGATCAAATATAACACCAAGGTTCCTTACAGTCTCACTGGAGGCCAAATTAATGGCATCCATAGTTAGTATATCTTTAGATAATTTGTTTCGTAGATTTCACACCGGAGTACTTTTCCCCTTTAGTTCCGTTAGTAGCCCTTATGTTGCGTTCACACCAAAAAGAGTACTTCGTGCCGGGAACTTTTAACCCCATTTGTAGTGCCTGCTAGAGAGGTGGTACTATCCTGGGGGGAAAAAGTGCCCCAGTTCTGATTGGCTGGGCGAATTGCAAACCACGCCCCGTAAAACTCTGAAAAGTTTTGTGAAGCCGCCATTGTATTTGTGGCATTAGCATTATTAGCATTAGCCCCGCGCACCAACGGAGAGAGAATAACTTCTGGCAACACAAAAAAAAACATGGGAGCGGTGAAGATGAGGAGGTGTCGGCGTTCTGGCGATTTACTCGGAAGGCTTCAGTAGAAGCTGCTGGGAGTCCCAGCAGCTTCTACTGAAGCCAGTCTCCAACTCCGGGGACTTCCGGCCGGGGACTCCGGACGGCAGTATACGCCGTGAAGTTGTTTGCAGCCTGCCAGTAAACCCAAAGCAGAAGAAGACGAAGTGACGTCAGCGGCTCATTTGCGTAATCTTCCCTCAGGGAAAAGTACTCCGGTGTGAACGCGATTGGTACTTAGTGCCCTGGGGTAATAAGTGCCGGGGCACTAAGTGCCGGCACTAAGTACTGCAAAGTACGCGGTGTGAACATTTAAGGTCCTCCACGTTTTTAAGTCCTTGATTGAATTTTATTTAGATGATTGGTTTCATCAGGCTTTATGGATAAACATTTCACAGTAGAGAAATATAATATAAATATGACCATGTAAATAATATAAATATGACCCTGTAAATATATGGATTTCCCAATGGCAACCTGGTCATATACTTTTCAATGACTTCATTTATTGTACGCTGTGGAGGCGTCTGCCTGACTGAGCAGTTGGTAGAGGCTGTTGTTGGGCTGAGATGGGATCTTTAATGACTCTCCTGCATCGCCCCTTCTACACATCCTCCAGATTGAGCCAAACACCTCCAGAGATGCTTTCTGATGACTGCAGCACTCTCTGCCAGGCTTCCCAAGCTTGTTTGGTTCTCGCCTTGTACCGCAGGGTGACGCTCCGTAACATGACTCTCTTTCAAAACAGATGAATGGAGAAAATGTGAATGAATCACTCCCCATATCCATGAGCTGATTCATGTCTTCGAAGAATCAACAAGCTGTGGAGCCAATGACCAACTGGGGGCACATTGAGGCTTGTGGCAACATGCAGACTGTGATTTATCTGGATTACATTCTGGAGCACATGAAAACAAAACCAGGCTGGCAGTAAAGAGCAAAGGAAAAAAAAAGAGTCCCTCTTTATGGGCTGTCTCCATAGCTTTGGGGTTAACATGCCAATCGTGTATCGTAACGTCCCCTGTTGGAGTCCAGCAGGAGAACATTTATTGCATCTTGCTGTCCCTCATTTCATGACATCTCTTGTAATAAAAGCAATAAAACATAATCAAAAGAAGAGCCCCTTAATGTCTGTTTTGAACGTGCCCCATACACAGTGACTGGAGATGTCTTTCTGTAGCTAAAGGGTATTTACCTCTGATATTAAATTGCATTTCTGGTATTCAAAATAAAATATAGATATGTTACAAAATAGCACAACAGTAAATATCCACTTGAATTTGAGGGATTCAGACCAAATACCAACTCATTTCCAACTCCACTCCTTTCACAATGCAAGTGCACTCAAATCCAATAATATCCTACAGTCCATTTTTTATATTTTATGTAACCATCTGAAGCCCTCTTCTGGCTCTTTATTGGATCTGATACTCATTGCATCTGTCACCATCTCTGCCTTCTATTCCCTCAAGATGCAAGGTTATATCGGGAAGAAAGAGCATCTACAACAAATCTAAGAGACATTAAGAAAACAGCTCAGACAGAAAATACTCATATGTTTCATGTCGCATTGCTTTGAAAAGTCAACAAGGGATTTAACAAATACACCAAGGTATAGCTCATCACACTCTCATCACATATGATTGTTTATCCATGATTCCCATGCAAACAGCTCAGCAGCCTTTATGAACGCTGCTGTTTAACTACACACAGAGTTTAGAGTGGACACGGCTGATCAGCTGCGTATTGAAGAATCTGACATTGCCTTCAAGCTGGATTTTATGAGCCATTAAAGTTCATCAAAGTTGAAGATAGACAAAGAAGGAGAGGTGTGCTAGCGTTAGACAGGCTGAAATGTATCATGCATTATGCAATGAGATGGAAGAAAGGCTTTGAAAACAATTTAGGTGTGCTTGGTTTGGTCTGGTCTGGGACTAAAGGAGAATAATTACCCGAGCCAAAGCACACATACATATTCTATCTTGTGTGAGCCTCCAGCTCTGCATAGTAAAGAACATGTAGTGACTTGTGAAGTAGAAGTAAATAGGACATATGCTCATTGCAGGTTCATATTTGTATTTACTGTCTACTGTCTCCATGCTTTAATGTTCAAAAAGCTCTTTATTTTTCTCATACTGCCTGCCATACGGCCCCCTCCGCAAGGTGAGGCCCCACGCAGTCTGCGTGATCGGCCTGTAGGGAGGGACGGCCCTGGATGTCACAACCATTAGCCTATTATGTACAATGTGTTGGAGATCTAGTCTACTGCATGCACTAAAACCTATAACACACTACAGGAAAAGGGAAAACCCCAAAAAGCACACTAGGACCTCTTCAAAGGTCACCTATTATGCAAAATCCACTTTTTCATGTTCATAAACATGTGTGTAAAGAGATTCTGAAAGTTTCAGGAAAAAAGATTCTCTCACTTTTTGATCCATTTATATGAAAACCTCAAACTAAATGACCTGATCAGATTTTGGTCATAATGTTTTTTTGGCTTGTGTAACCATTAGCCAATAACCAACCAAGGTAACCCCCCCAGTGTAAGAAAACGTTTTTAGAGAGTACTTGCCCATGGACAAGTGAGTTTGGCAATTTGCTTGCCCAAATACATTTTTCAGTTTTTCAGTTTTAGCTCCTATGTTGTTAATATTGACCTTGTCCAGATTGGACAAGGTCAATATTAACAACATAGGAGCTACAACGCTTAATAACCTTCATTACGTGTTAGAGAAAGAACATAAGAAAGTTTAACAAAGATGAGGCTGTTAAACGGGCAGCGGATCCGCTGTGTGTAGAGAGAGAGAGAGAGACGCTGAGCTGCACCGATCAGCTGATCAGGAGCATAGAGAGAGAGCTGTGGTCCGCGGGGACACGGACAATTTGTGAATGAGTTCTGCCTTTTGTAAGCTGAATTTATCAATAATTTGTCAATAAATATGGGTGAAAAACGTCACTTGTCCATCGGACAAGTCAATGGAACGATGTACTTGTCCGATATTGTAAATAACACGTCCCGGACGATCGGACGTGTGCTTTTTCGCACACTGCCCCCCCCCCCCCTTATCACCTGAATCTCCTCCTAGAGCACCATTGTGTTCTTTTTAACCAAATATCTCTCAGAGGGGCGTGGGGAGGGGCTCCTTATTTTCATCTAAAGTAACAGACAGAGAATCAGCACTTTGGAAACAGGGCTGAAACAGAGGGGATTATGGGATGCTGCAATGATCTGTTTGGTGTTTGGAGCCAAACACTTCAGAGACATGTTTTGTATATATCTGAGACCTATACTAAATTGATGAAAAATAGTATAATAGGGACCTTTAAGTGACTTACCTGTTGAGTGAAACATCCTCTAATTGGAAAAAATTGGAGGCCATATTGCATTTAAAAAGGTTTAGAGTGTTCTCCATAATATCACTATTTGACTGACTTGTGTGTCTGTGTTCCAATTGTAGAGGTCCCGGAGTATTCCTTTGATGGGCACAGTCACGCGCATTTTCAATTGCCGTCCACGCTGCCGGCCCGAAGGACATGGGTTCAAGTCCTGGTCCGAACCCGCAAACACAGCAGCACCATCCTCAATCTGATCTCCAAGGAGCAGAGTGAATACATACGACTGGAGGTAAGACTGCTATATGAGTTTATTACATGGTTTGTTTTTGTTCAATACTCGATTCTGATTGTTCAATCGGGACATTTAGCAGACCGTTGCTCAGGGTAGCAGACTGCTTACGAGGACTCTTTGATCAAGCAACTATGTGCAGTCATATCAATCCTAAGAAACAAGTAAGGTCATTTTAACTTTAGCTGTGGACAACAAACATTAGTTCTTATTATTTTTGTATTTGTGAAGAGCACAAGACGTTGGATTTGTGATGGCTGAACTGTCCCCGGTAAAGAAAAAGAGAAGAAGCATCAAAACCAGCGCAAGAAAAAGAAAAAGGTTAAAAGACAGAGAAATCAGGAAAAGAAGAAACAGGAACTAAACAATGACAGGAACACAGTATGAAGCTGTGTTTAAAGGCTGCTTAATGGATAAGAACATGTGAAAAGACTTAGGCAGTTACGAGGCAGAAAACCTCAAGTTACTTTGCAGCTAAAATTGAGGTCATATTTTTTGTATGTGGATAGTAGGGCTGTCAAGTTAATGCGTTAATTAATTTGGATCGCATCCAATGTGTCGACTGCACATCACAGCGCATTATTTTGACCCTAGATGAGAACTTCAGTCTCATGCTTTGACTGAAGATGAAGACAGAGGAGCGGCATTTCACCGACAACTGTAAAGGCTTGTCTGTTTGAGCAACTGGCTCAGTGCAAAGAAGTACACAGGGTTGGGAGAGAGTGAAGAGAGAGAGAAGTTCCAGGTTGCTGTGTTGAGAATATTCAGGAGAATATTTGTCATTGTTCCAATGATAATAAACAAACATTTGCATAAAGCATATTTGTCCACTCATATGTTAATAAGAGTATTAAAAACTTGAAAAATATTCCTCTAAGGTACATTTAACAAGATAACAAATGTGTGATTAATTTGCGATTAATCACGATTAACTATTTTAATCGACTGACAGCCCTAGTGGATAGACTTTGATACAATATTGGGTGAACGCTTATCTCCTCATCATTTTCGAAACTATTCATAGTAGAATGTGTTGATGTATTTTTCTTTGCCTCAAAAACAAATCGAGTCTGTTATGTACAATTTTGAATATAGAGGAAATGTCTCTCCTACCTTCCATCCTGCAAAGTAACAGCAGTCATTTTCTTCAATCATAAACAGCACTTAGAATATACCGTGTTTCTATTGCTGCATTCTAACCTATCCAGACGGCAGCTTGTAAACAGAGGAAACAAGCAGTTGAACACAATAACACCCGCAGAAGCTGGATATATTTCCCAGAAACGTTCCTGTCAAAGTTCTTAAAGCTGATGCATTGTGTTATTTTATAGTGCATTGGGTGCATGTTCCAATAACCCTTTAAAGGAAAGTGCCTCGGGGTGAAACCGTGTAGGTTCAAGGTTCTTTATTTGTCATACGAACATAGCTACAGAGTAGTTATGTCGATGAAAATCTTAAGTCACAGGCTTCTCCAACAGTGCAACACAATAATACAGAAAAACAGTAAAAAAATAGTGCAAGTAAATATTAAAAAGTAAATACAAAAAAAAAAAGTTTAAAAAAAGTGAAGTAGTGACATAAGAGTCTATATGCAAGCTATTGGAATGATATATTAGATAAATAGATAAATAATTACTAAGTAGCAGATGAATGTTATGGATGTTGTTACAACAGTTCAGGTGTTTAACAGTCTTATTGCCTGTGGGATGAAGCTGCCTCTGAGTCTGGTGGTTTTAGTCCGGATGCAGCGGTACCTCCTGCCAGACGGCAGCAGACTGAACAGTTTGTGGCTGGGGTGATGGGGGTCTTTGATAATCCTGAGGGCTTTCTTCCTGACCGGCTGGGAGTAAAGGTCCTCCATGGAGGGCAGCTCCGTCCTGGTGCTGTGCTGTGCAGTTTTCACCACCCTCTGTAAAGCCTTACGATTGAGGGCGGTGCAGCTGCCGTACCAGGCCGTGATGCAGCCAGTCAGGATGCTCTCTATGGTGCACCTGTACAAGGTCAGGATACTCTCTATGGTGCACCTGTAGAAGGTCAGGATACTCTCTATGGTGCACCTGTAGATTGCAGAGTATCCTGGAGTCCATGTTGAACCTCCTCAGCCTGCGGAGGAAGAAGAGCCGCTGTCGAGCTGTTCTGGTGATGGTGTTTGTGTGAAGAGTCCATGTCAGGTCCTCAGTGATGTGGACACAGAGGAACCTGAAGCTGCTGACTCTCTCCACCGTAGTCCCATTGATGGCGATGGGGGCGCGTCCCTCTCTCTGCTGCTTCCTGTAATCCACAATCAGCTCCTTGGTTTTGCTGACGTTGAGATGGAGGTTGTTGTCCTGGCACCAAGATGTCAGGTTTTCGACCTCCTCCCTGTACGCCGTCTCGTCGCCGTCTGTGATCTGGCCGATGACGGTCGTGTCGTCAGCAAACTTCACGATGGTGTTGGAGCTGTGTGTGGCCACGCAGCCGTGAGTGAACAGGGAGTAGAGGAGAGGGCTGAGCACGCAGCCTTGAGGGGCTCCGGTGTTGAGGATCAAGGTGGAGGATGTGATGTTTCCCACCCGCCTGGGGCCTGTAGTCGTTATTACTAAAGTCATGTTTTCCTCTTTTCTAAAAAAGGCCCACATAGCGTTAGCATAAATCTGGCTTCATGAGTTTAATAGCAACATGAGGATAGCTCCAACGTGTTCGCCATTGTTGTTATTGTTAGTGATATTTACGGCAGCTTTGCAGCGACGTATACGATAACATCATGACGTGGCTCCTCTCTGACTCTGGTCTGTGGAAATGCAAACTGTTTCTTCTGTGGTTTTCAAGTGAACACACCCCAAACTAAAAAAGCCCCAGCATGAAACTTTAACGGTATTCATATAATATATAATACATATAAGTTATTGTACAGATGAAAGATAGGTCTTAACTTCCTCCCACTGCCCAAAGCCAAAATACTCAAGATCCAGGAGCTGCCGCCTTGAGATTTTGATGTCATTTTGAGCCAGATTCCAGCAGCTGTGATTAAGAGGCTGGAGCCGCTGTAACTAGATCCAGACCATACCCGCGCTAAACTAATCGCAGGCTGAGAACGTCCCAAGCTTGTTAGCGTTAGCCACCTACTTACTACAAATACTACAACAACTCACCAACATCTCTATACATACATTTATGATCAAATTGACAATTGTTCTTCATCACAGACTTGGGATTGTTATGGAATGTTAAAGTTAAATCGCTTCTATAGTTCAATTATTGAGCCTCCAGTTGCTTCACTCACATTAGCTTTCAATCATGACGTCACAAACACTCTTCCTTTTTAGATCAAAACACTCATTAAAACCAAATTTGTCAGATCAATTAAAAGTGGGGTACAGTAGGTAATTTTGGAGAAACCCGCTCGGGTGCGCTAGAATTTGAAAATACACAACCGGAAAAAATCTGCCTCTTCCTTCAGACTTCCTTACAGAGCCCCACCTCCAACACACACGAACGCGCACATGACCAATGAGGGCACGAGATAAGTTTGTCCACAGATGGAAGGCTGACAGGCAGGTAGGCCATCCAGTTATTTTAGCCGGGCCGGCTAAAATGATTGGTCGTGCTTTTTACAGTACCACGGCTTCCACAGATGACATTTTTTTATGTATTTATTGTCAAAGCATTTAATATATTTATTGCTATCGGGATGTTAAGAGCATTCCATGGAATATAACAAAAAGTGAAATAAATTACATATCCCACCTTTAACACTTTTTACATTGGAAAAATCGAACTACCCAATATGACAAACAACAATACAGTAATGATGTTGTCATTGATGTTAACGCATTAATAACATGTTGTAAAAATAGGCTTCAAATGCCTCCTGTATCTATGGTAAACTCATTACAGATACGTGCTGATTTGACCCCAGCGATAAACGCTTACACTAGAACTACTTAGTAGGCGTCCTTTATCGGTAATTAATGGACACCCTGCAGCCAATCAGAATCAAGTAATGGCTGTTAAGCCGTAGCGCAACTGGAACATGACACAGCAGGATTCTGATCTAGTCTGTACATGCACTGGTATTCTCAATTATGGAATTAATGCCATAAGTGTGTTTTCCAATGACAATGTATCATAGATGTTCTCCCAGTTTGAGGTGGTTGTAATACATGTATAGTCAAGGAAAACAGTGTTTGGTATATGGTGTATGAACTGTGCAAATGATTTAGATTGAGGGTGAAAGCACACTGTCTGGACCGAATACATAAAGTGTTTTATGTGTCTTAAAGGGTTCATATCTCCCACTGGTGTTGTCCTCTGGTTGCTCTGTTCACACATGAATTATTCTCATAGTTGTTTATCTGCCAGCTTCCCTTTCTTTTTTTCTACGCCTGACAGTTTCCCAGAACTTCCTCTCACCCCACGCTGCAATTCTAGTTATTGACCAAACATCACTGTGTCAAATTAAAATGATTATCCATCCAACAGATGCTGCAGTTTAACCTCTCCTCTGGTTGCCGTCTGTCATCCATCCATCTCTCCATCCTACATTTCCTTTTAAATGTCATGTTGCTCCCTCAGCATAGCCACACGTTCACGTCATTTATCCACCGTGAAAAGTGCATTTATTCCCCGGTGCAGACAGCATGGAAATGTGTGTAGTGAAATAGACCCCCCTCAGTGAAACGTTGGAAACCCTGCAATGTTATTAGACAGAAACATAACCATATTGCCTTTTGGGATGAAGTTTTTCTCGGTAATAGTTTTGCATGCTTTTAATCAGAGGGAGGAATTAGTATGCGTTACTCTTGGCTGGTTGCAAACTCACAATGAGAGGAGCTCTTTGTTTCGGCTGTCTGCGTGTGACTTGACTTCCAAAAACATGGTTGGTTAAGATAATTTCCCCCTCCCTTGGATTGCAGAGTTTGTTGTGCTACACACTTTCTACTGAAATCTTCTCACAATAATTTATTTTTGGGAAAGATTATCCTAAATGAGAGCATTTAGTTTGTCTTTAATACTTCAAG